CCTGGCCATAAATACCAACCATGTTTCTGGAAAAGTTGGCCCAGCCAGTGACCTCGGGGAGCACAGGAAACTTGGTTGGAGAGTTTGTAAGGAGGAAATTCCGACCTAGGGGAGTTGGACAAAGGCGGCTACCCCTAATTGTTTCTTGACCTTTCCAAACAAGTCTGTGCATGTCCTGGAATCTTTATGCTTAATCTTTAGGTGTCCTTGCTTAAAGGACATTGCAGATACATGTGTCCTCCCCAGATTACTTAGCCATCTGATTGTATCGAAAAGACAAACTCTATCCCAAACTGCTGTTATAATAAAAGCCTGAAGAGGCAGGCAAAGGAGACTGTCTGGTTCCTTTAGCCAGGCAGACCCTTAGCCCTCTCTTTCACAGAAATCGTGTGTCAGAGTAATCATTTATCCGTCATTCAGGGTCTGCTGGTCAGTCCCAGCCTTGTGCCTCCAAGTTTAACCCTCTGCCCACTGTTCCAACAGGTCTTGTCAACAGCCAGGCCCTATATTTACATTTGTCTCACGTGGCCACAGCTGGATCACAGATTACTCTGCCAGCTTCTTCCCTGGAGATGGAGGGGTTGGGAGAGGGCGAGTGGGGGTGGGAGGGAGGGTGAGAAGGAAGGGCTGATTGCTTTGAGTGTGCCAGGGGTGGAGGCATTCTGCCCTCCATGGGGTCACTGGCCAACAGCTCCAGGGCCTCTATGCAGGGCTGCTGGGACCATTTTGAGCAGCCAGGCACTGGGAGCGTCTGGCGGGAGGGAGGTGTGGATTAGATGCTTGGGGTCAAGGGCCTGATCCTAAGATGCTGACTGTCCAAGTCAGGAGAGTGAAAGAGTCAGTGGGGGTAGGGGGGTTCTGCCTGAAAATGTTCAACCTCTATCTGGTCATGAGGAAACGTCTGACAGAGACAAAATGAGGAACCTTAATTAAGAAGAAGAATGGGTCTTCCTCTTTTGAAAGCGGCCAGAGGTGACCTCTGAAAATGGTTCACTCTCCCCAGACCCAGAAAAACCCACAGAATCACGCAAACCCAGAGGTTCAAATTTCCGTGTTCACCTTAAGATCCCCCGTGACACTGCCCAGGCCATCAAGGATGTGCGTTGCTGGGAAGCCACTGTGCATCCGCAGGAGGTCAGCTTACAGAAGCAGCGGGTGCCGTGCCATCCTTACCACGGTGACGCTGGGAGCGTGCCCAGGCCAAGGAGTGGGGCTGGACACAGGGTCGGGGCCCACAAAGAGAGCTGGATTTTCGCTGCAGAGAGCAATGCAGAGTGCAGAGAGCAATGCCAGAGTTAGGGGTTTAGATGTAGACTCTATGGTCCCAGAGCACGAGCTCCCAAGATGCGGCGCGGACCTTACAGAGCTCACGGGCAGGTTGACCCCAACCAGGGCCCTCCCCGGCGCCTGGCGGGGATCCTACGGAAAACAGCAGACGTTTCCTGAACCAGCAGAGGAGGCTGCACAGGAGGAAAAGATCCCAGAAAAAAACTGAGGACAAAAACGTATGGCCCAGGAGCAAATTCAACATAAATACTAAAAAAAGTTTTTTAAAAAAAGGTGGGGGATGGGGAAGGACACTTCTATTCCTTAAAAAATACCGATGCCACACCGAACGAAGGAGGGCTGTGGGGATGTCCCACACGACGCAGACTAAACGTGATGCGGGACCCTGGATCTGCGCTGGGGGCGGAAATGCTAACGAGGACCCTGTGGGCTCAAGCACCAACCAGGAATGCAGATGGCGGCTCAGCTAAACATAGTGCCCATGCAAATTTGCAAAGTGGACGAATTTGCTGTGGTTACATGGGAGAGTTTCCCTATTCTTAGAAAAGCATCTAGGGGCAAAGAGCCAATGATTCAGAAAGAAAGTGAAGTGTGCACAGAGACAGCATAAATGAAAAAGCAAACGGGACAGTAACAATCCACAGAGGATTATGTGGATGTTTCCATCGTAACGTACTCTTTCCATGGTTGGTGTTTTTGAAGTCTGACATTATTTCCAAATGAAAGATTTTTAAAAAGCCAAAAGATTTCGCAGCAGAACTGGTCATTTCACGCAGAATCCCACGTGGAACCCCATGTGTGAAACAGGGACAAGCTGGATTATCCGGGTGAAGCCAGCGTGGGCCCCACTTGCCTGTGCCCCTTTGGTGGCCTTGGGGGGTGGTGCCTCCTGGAACCTAGTTTGGAAACCACTGAGCGGGTTCAGCCTCCACGTTCCTGGGAACACAGTGAGGAGGCAGTCACTCCTGCATCCTCACGTCCATTGGACACACACACACACACACACATACTTGTTTGCATCTGATCCTCAAAACAGCACTGAGAGAGACGTCCTCAGTCCCATTTTGTAAGTGAGAAAGAAGATCAAGATTCTGGAAGGTAAGTACCTCCTTGAGGCCAAGCTGTCCAGGTGTTTTCTATATGCTCTCTGCACCAAAGCTGGGGTTCAAACCCAGGCCCCTGAATGAACCCCAAAGACCCTGCTCGTAGCCGAACCTACCTGCTCCCAGGGCAAGGGACAGCCTCGGCCTGCTCAGGGCAGGGGTGAGACTGGGAGCTGCAGGACTCGCTGTCCGGTGCTCACCCAGCGGTGGGGAGTACGCTGTCCGTTCCTCTGTGAGAAGCCCACCTGGGCCTGGCGGGGAGCCTTCCCGTGGAGCCCGGCCCCGGCCTGAATGTCTAGACTCAGAGACTCCCACGGGGGCTGGCTTCTGGCTCAGGAGAGCTTCCAGCCTCTCTCGGCGAGGGCGGGGGACTCTGAGCGCCCCGCTGCTCTGCTCTTCCCCACGCTGTGCCAGGCAGGCCCTCTCACAAAAAGAACGGCAGGCCTTTCGTTTCTTTCTTCTCTCAAAATCAGCCATTCCTACCCCCCACACCCCTAGCCTCCTCACCCCCGGCTCTGCTCTCTGGTTTTTATTGTGCGAATTCCCTGTCAGTAAAATCATTGTGTTTGGAGTTAGTCGAGAGATGGTGTGTTTAAAATCCAGGATGCCCAAGCTTTCTGAGTAAACTGGGACTCCCTGAGAATAGAATTGCCCTTTTCAGGCCCAAAGCTGTCCCCGACAGTCTCAGAGTCCATAACGTCCTTGGCCCTGTCTTTGCTCTGAGCCCCAGACTGGCCCGGGCGGGAGAGATGATTCTCCAGATTAGAAGTTCCGAAGGGAAGGCCTCTGAAGAGAGCTTTTCTAGGGTCAGTGGGCCATGCTCCGTCCTCCGGTCACATTCGGACCCTGTTTTCTGTGGGCCTTTCCGAGGGAGGAGGGGAGAGTCCCTCCCTTGAAATAGGCACCGTTGGCTGGGCCTGCTGGGTGCTGGGCTCAGAAGTCCACACTGAACATCTGTTGTTTCTGGGTCACCAGGGAACGAGTGTGGCTTCTGAGTCATTGGGAGCCGTGGTTCCCCTCTTTGTAAAACAGCTGCCCCCGGTGAGGACACTGGGCCTTAAGGGGTTAACTCACTCAGGATCACATAGGCATAAGTGATAGCAGGAATTTGCACCCCCTCCCCCCCAGTCTGTGTGGCTATAAAGGTGATGGTCCTTCTACTCCCCATGGCTATGCTGTCACAGACAGTTACCCAGGCTATTGCTGATGGGGCGACGCGGGGACCAGGTCCGGCCAGCGCCAGCTCACTAAGGTGCGTTCCCTGGTGCAGGACCCTGTGCTTCTCCCCTGTTGGGGTGCTGTGAGAAGCCGATTATAAATGGCCCACTGACTCCCTTCCCCACATCTGCATCCCCTGAGGCTCTTGCCTTTGCAGCCCTTCCCATCAAGAAAGGCTGGCTGGTCTTATGACTAAACAGATGGATGAAATATTTCCGAGTGACATCATGCCAATTCAAGCTCAGGCCCTGAGAGCCTCACAGGCTTTGCTCCTTCTTTTAGACCACCTATTGCTGTGGGCACAAGCCCGGGCTAACCTGCTGGAGCATGAGCAATGCATGTCCCAGTCACTCCCCTTCCAGACCAGCCAATCAACCACCCAGCATCTGTGCAAGGCCATCCTAGACCAGCCAGCCTCCAGACAACCCTTGCTGACCACAGACCCAGGAGCCAGCCCCGCCACGCTCAGCCCACCTGACCAGATCAGCATAACCGCTCCAATCTGTGACCAAGAATCCATGCTAACCAATTCAGGTGGCTGCTATGGGGTGAATTGTGTCCCTCCAAAATTCATATGATGACATCTTTTTTTTTTTTTTTTCCCATGAGCCCTGATGGAGGTGGGGGATCGAGCCTGCAACCGAAGTACATGTCCTTGACTGGAATCGAACCTGAGACTCTTCTGTCTAAGGGCCAATGCTTTATCCACTGAGCCAAACTGGCCAGGGCCTTATGTTGACATCATAACCCCCAGTCCCTGAGAATGTGACCTTACTTGGAAATGGGGTGGTTGCAGATGTAATTCGTTAAGACGAGGTCGTACTGCAGCAGGGTGGGCCCCTAATCCAAGATGACCGACGGGGACATTTGGACACAGATATGCTCACAGGCGAAAAGCCATGTGAAGATGGGAGTGGTGCTGCCACAAGCCAAGAACTAGCAGAGGCTGGGAGCGAGGCCCGGGACACATCCTCCCCGGAGCCTTTGCAGGTAGCATGGCCCTGCAGACACCTGGACCTCAAACTTCCTGCCTCAAGAACTGCGGGGGAACAAACTTCTGCTGCTGCAGACACCCATTTGCGGTACTTTATCACGCAGTCCTAGAAGCTATTCAGCATCTCTTTGTGATTCACACAAAGGCACAGCCCAAGCTGGCCGCCCCGCCTGCCTCTAACCGACTGTGGCCCCGTCCTAATACCAGGCAATCCTTCTAGGTGCACAGGAACTGCATTCCACCATGCCCACTTCTGCCCCAGCAGGCCCCTGAACCGGTCAAGGCTCCTCTAGTGCCTTCCAGAGGCCCTTGAGGCCTCGGCAGGGGAGGAGTCACAGTCCCAGGAGCCCCAGCCCGGGATCCCCAGCCCAGGCCCCGCCGGCCGGCCGGCCACCTACCTGGGTTGCCGAGGGCCATGGAGTCATAGATGAGCTTGCAGGTCTTGAGCAGGATGGCGATCTTCTTCTCGGGCGAGTAGGTCTTGTGCATGCTGCTGAACTTCTGCAGGATCTTCTCCATGACGGGCACCTCGGGCACGCTGGTGGTCACGCCCAGGTCGGTGGTGGTGGTGGCCAGGATCACCAGTTGGTTCTCCTTGAGCTGCTGCAAGGAGCCATCCTTGCTGTGGATCTCGTGGAGGCACGAGTTGATGGCTTCTTTCAGGGGCTTCAGCACGCACTTGTACAAGGCGGACTCCACAATCGCTTCTGCGGGTGGGAGAGAGTCGTAGGGTGAGGACCCCGGTGGCAGGGGTCCTGGCCCCGGGCCGTGTGGCCCTACAGTGTGGCCATGCCCATCTTCTCATCTCTGGAAAAAACGTACTCACAGCCCCAGCAGGTATAGCAGCCATTCTGACGCATAAGACCGTGAAGTACATGCCACGGAAAGCCACACTCGGAGCCCTCTGACTGGCACATTGCATCCTCATGCCTTTCCCAGGGCCTGGCCCAGATTAAACTCTCACAGCGCTGCCCACTGTACACAGCTTGGGAGGGCACTGTTCACATGGGAGTTGCGCAGTGTACAACCTGTGTAGCTGTACTTTGAGGTACCAGGTACCCAGCACATGCGTGGTGGAATTATTCTTTTATTTTTTTGAATTGCACTAGCTAGCATTTATTCAATGCTTACTAAGTTCCAGACGTAGGGCAAAATGCTTTATACAGGCAATCTCATTGAATTCTGTCAACAACCCTAATTACCATGGTTTTACACACTGAGGTTAGAGTCACTGCCCTTAACTAAGAAGCCTCCCACTGATAACATAATAGCCTCAGAGGTTACCAAAGAAGGTCCTGGCAGCTCCATCACAGGCCCTGGAATTATTCTTGATTCTCTCTTTCAACCCTCAAGTCCACTTGACTTCAGGGTCAAGAATCTAGTATATCCATAACCTGACTTCTCACCACCTCCAAGGTATGACCTTGACCTGAGCTACCACCACCTGTTGCCTGAGTTTTGTTGGTAGCCTCTTGCTCTGGCCCCTAACAGTCCACTCTCAACACAGAAGCCAGCGTCATCCCACAATAGCATGTGTGGCCATGACATTACTGTGCTGAGAACCCTCCAATGGCTCCATCTCATGGACAACAGAAACCACAGCGGTCCCTGTGCCGTTCAAGGCCCCTGAGTGACCTGTCCCTGTGACCTCTCTCACTCAGCACCTCGCTCACTCCCCTGTGCATGCTGCTCCAGCCACAATGGTCTCCTTGCTGCATGACCACCTGCCATGCCTGCTCCTGCCTCAGAGCCTCTACACCCGCTTTTCCTTTTGCCTGGAAGAGTCCAAAGGCACCCTGACCATCTAGCCCAGTGGTCGGCCAACTCATTAGTCAACAGAGCCAAATAGCAACAGTACCACGATTGAAATTTCTTTTGAGAGCCAATTTTTTTTTTTTAACTTAAACTTCTTCTAACGCCACTTCTTCAACATAGACTCAACCAGGCCGTGGTATTTTGTGGAAGAGCCACACTCAAGGGGCCAAAGAGTCGCATGTGGCTCACAAGCTGAGGTTTGCCGACCACTGATCTAGTATTATAGAATGGGAGTCAGCCAGTTTTTATCTCATAGCAGCCTGCAACCCACCTGCCATTACCCCCGCTCTACAGATGGACCAACTCAGGCTCTGATGGTGTGGGCCACACAGCTCGCCGGGGCTGACCAGAGATCGGAACCCATGTCTACCTGACACCAGGGCCATGCCCAGCTGCCTTGGGTGACAGTAGAGAAATATTCCTGGGAAGCCTTTTTTGGCTTTACCCTGTCCCCAGGGGAAGAGTCTCAGCTATTGTTTCCTCATCTGCAAAGTGAGAGAGGGCTTCAGCCCAGCCCTCCGGCTCCTTCATCCCCGAGAGCCACCACATCCCCTGCAGAGACCGCCTCTGGCCCTCAGCGGTCACAGGTCAGTACTCCTTTAGCCTCTAATTGCTCCTGTGACTGTCCCCCTAATAAAAGCAGGAGCATCCTCAGGGTGGGGTCCTGCCCAGCGTCTGATGTGGGCGCAAGAGCAGAGCTGGGAAGCAGGAGGCAGAACAGCAGAGGGATTAGTTCAGTTAGTTCAGGAGGGGGTGGGGACAGCGAATTGTCTGGAATGACCCTGCCCACCCACTCTCAGGCCTCCCCCCCCCTCCACCCTTCCCCACCCCCGGACTGACCCAGCTCCTCCTCAGAGTACTGGGTGTGGTCCCCCAGCGCCTTGAGCTCGGTGCTCTGCAGCAGGTAGCTCTTGAGCTGGGTCATCATGGTGCGGATCTCCTGCAGCATCTCGGTGCTGGAGGCCTGGCGCGCCATCATCTCCAGGCTGTACACTTTGTAGTCCTGCACCAGGTTGCCGAAGTACGAGGCCTTGTCCTGGGCCAGCTCCACCACCTTCTTGTACAGCTTGCGGTCGTTGGAGAGGAAGGCCTGGAAGACGCTGGTGAAGCTGGCGAGGCTCAGGCGGTGCCGCGCCTTGCCCAGGATCATGGACGGCTTCTTCCTCACGCTGGGGCTGCTGAACTGCTCCAGCTCCTCCTCCGTGCTGCTGGTCGAGTAGGAGTCTTGATCGGTGGCTGGGGTGTGCGCCCCCGTGCTGTCTGAGAGGGAGGCCAGGGAGCCCTTGAACTCCGGGGGGCTCTGGCGCCGGGCGCTGGCCGGGTCTTCTGGGCTCTGGGTCCCAGCTTGGGAGGCGGGGGGGCGTTGTCCCTCTCCGGGCGGGCCAGGGCTGGGTTTCTCGGGGGCTGCCTCCTCCGTGGAGAGCTCGGCGCTCTCCAAGGGGCTCGGAAGGACTGAGGCCAGCTGCCGGGAAATCCGCTTCTTCCTAGGAGGGGGCACTGGGGGTGGCCGGATCTTCCTTGCCGACTCTGGCAGGATGCCCAGCTGGCTGGCTTGGGCCACTACTTCCTGTCCTTGCTCTGTGGTCCTCAGAGGCCTGTCCCCAGGGCTGTCTGAGGTCCCCTGGGGAGGCAGGGCGAGGGAGGGCGGCCGGGAAAGAGCCGGCTGGTCCCACTGGGCGGTGGTGGCCCTGTCCACCTTCTCCACCTTTGGGTCCTCCAGGGAGAGCTTCTCAGAGAGGCGGCGTCTGGGAGGAGCTGCAGGGGCGCCTTTCTTCCCCGGCCCCGGAGGGGCGAGGGCCTGCTGCAGGGGGCTGGGGGCCGCCCCTGGCTTCTTCTCTTCCTCCCGGAGGGCGCCCAGGCCTGCGGGGGGGCATGGGGGCCTCTCGCAGGCTGTCATGGGTAGCTGGCTTGGATGGTCCCGGGGGCGCAGGGCATGGGGGGCCAGGTGGGGGGCAGATGCTGGGGCTGCAGGAGGAAGGGCGTCTGGAGGTGGGGGAGAACTGGGCAGAGGGCAGGCCGGAGCTGGGGCAGGGGGTGGAAGAGGCCGGGCAGGACTGAGGGGGTGGAGAGGGGGTGCTGGGGGCGGGGGCGCCGGGCGGCGAGGGGCCCACCGGGAGGCGGGTGAGGTAGAGTCAGAGGTGGGAGGCAACGGGCTGGAGGGGCATCTTCTCAGGGGCGGCCGGTCGGCAGGCAGGGCGCTGCCGCTGCCACAGTCCTCGATGAAGATGGGATTCACAAACCACAGGCGGTCATTTCCTACGGAGAGCTCAATCTCACACGCGCAGTTTTCCTGGTGGGAAGCTGGCCTGAGGCTGGCGGTGGGGGGCGCCCTTGGGGCTGGGTCTCTCGGGGGTTCCGCTGGGCTGCCAGCTGCTCGCCGGGGGTTCAGCGAGGAGTCCCAGAAACCTGTGGAAACAAGAGAAGAAGAGGCGGTCAATCCTGGAGCCGTCCCCCTGGGTGGGGTGGGATGGGTGGGGACGGGGGGCCCTCACAGCGTTGGCTTCTCTGCTCCCCGGGTTGTTTTCCCCTCTTGGACTGTTTTAAACCTCTCCCACCACTTCCTGTCTCGAGAGGGGAAGCCCCGTGAGATCCTCCCCTGCGGTGCTGGGGAGCCGGGGTGGGGCCAGGCGCCCTGTGACCGGGCAGCGTCAGCTCTGTCCCTGGCTGTGAGGGCCCCCAGGGAGGGCTCAGTGACGCCGGTGCAGGCCGGTGGGGGTGGAGGGGCCCACAGCGGGAGTTCCTGCAGCCGGCCAGCTGGGGACTCCGGGGCAGGTGGCTGGATCTTTCTAGGCCCCCGTCTAGTCACCCCTAGAATCGGGGTGGCTGCGTGGGGCCTGTTCTCTGTGGGGAGAACACACCTATGGACTGCGGCTGGTGAGCTCAGACCTGACCTTCCGTGTGGGGAGCACCTGCCACTGCAAAACCATGGGACTGGTCAGTCTCGGCGTTCACCAGGATGCTGCCCATCCCCCCCGGGGGAGGGGTGTCAGCAAACGGGGTGGCGTTCTGGCCCGTGCCTTTCTCCTGACCTAGCCCTCAGGATGCAGCCCGTGGCTGTGGCCATGAGGGCACACTTGTCCCTATGGGCACTGCTGGTCTGCACCAGGTATGATCTGGGGAGGAGCATGGGACATCCAAACAGAAGGGTCCTCAAGCTCAGAGTTCTTGACTCCTGGGCCCCAAGCCCTGTGGAGACTCTGACGGAAACCCAGGACGCTCCACGAAGGGCACTGGCATGGTGGCTGAGAACAATTCCGTCGGCCTGCAGCCTCTCTGAGCCCCAGGCAGTTCCTCTTGGACCAGGGAACCCAGGTCTGGGTCTACCTGCTAATGGTAGAGATTCTGTGTGCGGGCTCCCTTGTTAAGGAGGGGCCAGGCCTCTGGATGCGCACCGGGAGCCCCTTGCTTCTGGGAAGGATTCATCAGGAAGAAAACCACCAACATAGTTTCCAGGACAGTCACAGGACAGACCCACCCTGAGCTCTGGCGGTGAGGGCCACTGGCTCCACCCGGATCCTCTCACTTGTCCTGACCCCAGGCCTTCAGGATCAGTCCTGATCCACGGTTAAAGCATCGACCTATGAACCAGGAGGTCACAGTTTGATTCCTGGTCAGGGCACATGCCTGGGTTGCAGCTCAGTTTCCAATGTGGGGTGTGCAGGAGGCAGCCGATCAATGGTTCTCCCTCATATCATGGATGTGTCTCTCTCTCCCCTCTCTGAAATTAATAAAAATATATTTAGAAAAAAGGAACCAGCCACGGTCCCTGGGCTGGTGAGCGAGGGAGCTGGGGTGCGGGGTGGGTCTGCAGGCCTGAAGCCTGTGAGCCCGGCTGCTCGCTGTGCGGCCTCCCTTCTTGGGAACTTGCGACACTTCCCATCTCCGTGGCCCGGCCGGCGTGAGTGAGTGGCGGCCTGCACCTGAGAACTGGGGATGTGGTAAGCCCCGGGCAGGCTCTTGACACGGAGAGAAAGTGGGTGTCACACAAAGGCTGAGGGCGGTGTGCTGCCTGAGGCGGGCACGCCCAGGGACGCAGGTGTTTGCCCCTTGCTGGCCAGGGGACTGCAAACCCCATCCAGGGGAGCACATCTCCGGGACAAGGGGGCTGCTGAGAGACCGACATGTGAGCCTGCACAACCCTCTGAGCATGGCTGTGACCGGGAGGACCCTGGGGCTCCTGTCTCAGGATAGCAAGGTGGGTCCATCCTGCACAGATTAAAAGACAAAACAGCTGAAACCGGTTTGGCTCCGTGGATAGAGCATTGGTCTGCGGACTGAAAGGTCCCAGGTTCAATTCCGGTCAAAGGCATGTACCTTGGTTGGGGGCACATCCCCAGTAGGAGGTGTGCAGGAGGCAACTGGTCGATGGTTCTCTCTCACTGATGTTTCTAACTTTCTCTCCCTTCCTCTCTGTTGTTAAAAAAAAAAAAAATCAATAGAATATGTTTAAAAAATAAATAAAAAACAAAACAGCACACATTTTCCAGAGCCCAAACTTGGAGCAAAGGCATGGAGCAAACTTTGGGGTTCAGGAAAATGGGCCCAGAGCCTGGGGGACTAGGAACTGCTTCCCTGCTCCTAAGACAGCCTGCTGGACGCACCCCGGCAGGGCAGAGCCAACGCCACTCTGAGCGGTGAGGGGAGCTGAAGCCCGAGGGGCTGCAGTTTAGGGGCTGGGCGCCTGCTAAGGAATGGCAGTGGCAGTGCAGGGTTTTATGTAAAAAAAAAAAAAAAAAAGAAAGAAAGAAAAAAGGAAGTGGGTCACTTTCTTTGCAGCCTGAAGAACATTGAGAAAAAGCGGAACACGGTCATGCAAGCCAGTGGTTGGCAAAGCTGCGGCATCTGTGTCTAGTGGCACAATGCCAGGCCATGGCTCAGGGCCCTGCCTCCACTGCCTCCGTGCTGCCCTGGGACTGAGGGACGTTTTGCTGGCCTGTGGCCTCCCCCACCTTAGATGGAGAGACCTCTTGCCAGGGCCTATAATCCTTGGGGGAGGGGAGCCGGGGCCAGGCCAGGTGCTGGGCTGTAGGCCCCGGGGGCAAGGTGACGAAGGTTTCCCTCTTGGGGAGCCAGGGCTGGTGGCAGGGCAGAGAGGGCATGAGTAAAACCAGCAAAGTATTCCAGGTGCCAGGGAAGCAGCTCCAAAGTCCAGGGGTTCAGAGAAGAAATATTTGGTGGCATCCCAACCCCAAAGACGGGTGGTGGGACAGCTTGAGTGTTCAGTGAGTTTTCAATAACTAGGAAAGTTCTCACATGTGATATGAAGGAAGAAGCAAGTTCCATGCCAACCCAGAGGAGCTATAGAACATATGCCTTTTCTAGACATATTTTAAGCCCATTAAGCACACAGCAGACAAGTCAGAGAACGTCGGCAAGCCTAACCCTTACCTACCAGCGCTTTCTCTAGATTCCTTTGCTCTGAGGATCAACCGCACACAGGTAAGTGCTAAATTGCTCCCAGTGTTAGTTTTGTGGCCTCAAGGTCATTCCTTTACCGCCTGGCCTGCCCTTTCCAATGATGGCTTTTCCAAGGCCAAACTCAGAGTTCCTTGCGTCAGCTCACGAGCGAACGTCCCGTGCTATCGTGTGGCGCTGAGCCTGCAAACCAATAGTTCCCTTTCAAACAAACACACGGCACCACCCGTGCCTGACCAGCAGGGCTTGTGCAGCTGTTTGGATGCTTATTACATTCTATTCATTCTGTAAAAAGTGAGTAGAAGGCCAGTGATGGGAAACACACACGCCTCATAAACGAATTCCATGCAGAGTGGCGTGGCCACTGAGGAAAGCAATATACAGGATCCTCACACCATGAAAAACGGAACTGACCCAGAGCACCCACTTCGGAAGAAACACAAGACACTCATTGGAAAGAATACATGCACCCCTATGTGCACTGCAACATTGCTTACAACCGGGAGCCCTGCACACAAATCCGGGCGCCAGTAGCTCACTGCCGCCCTCCATAGCTCTCGCCTGCTGCCCCGCCCTACTGCAGCTCTCCTCACCCCCCATTCCCTCCTGGCCCCCCATCATAGCTTGCTGCCTTGCCCCCTCCTCTAGCTCTCCACTGCCGGCTTGTAGCTCACTGCCCCACCCTCCTGCTGATCTGTGACCCGGTCGATACGTTGGTCATTACGCTTCACAGTGTAACGGCTATTTGCATAGTACATCTTTATTATGTAGGATAGGCGATATTTGGAAGCAACCCAAGTGCCCAACAATACACGGATGGGTAGATCAAAAAGTTTTGCTACATATAATATATACAATGGAATATTACTTGGTCATTAAAAAAAAAGCATGAAATCTTACCATTTGTGACAGCATGGATGGACCTAGAGGGTATTATGCTAAGTGAAATAATTCAGTCAGAGAAAGACAAATATCACATGATTTCACTTATGTGTAGAATCTAAAGAGCAAAACAAACAAAAAAACAAACAAACAAACCTAATAGAAACAGATGCATGGATACAGAGAGAGAACTGGTGGCTGCCGGATGGGAGGTCAGTAGGGTGACTGGATGAAAATGGTGAAGGGATTAAAAGGCACAGACTAGCAGTTACAAGATCGTCACGGGGATATAAAACACAGCATAGGGAAGATACTCAATAACCTTGTAATAATTGTTATTATTACAAGTGGGTACTGGAAATATAGGGGGGGGGGTTGTGCTTTGTAAAGTATGGTTGTCTAACCATGACTCTGCCCACCCGAAACCAATACAAAATAATACTGCATGTCAACTGTAACTGAAAAAATAAAAACAACGTATTCCGATTTTAAGTGGGCAGGAGCCGGGAGCTAATGGGACGGGACGCTGCATGTGGGGGCAGCTGTGCCCACCACACCCGCCGACCCTCCTCGCCACTGCTGAGAGGTTCCCGTCCCTTCGCTGAGTCCTGTCGTAGCTACGCCAGTGTGCTGGGGTTCAGTTCTCCGCCACAAATGTGCTTTGCCTGGAACACTGTGTGAAGTGCCTGGGTATGTCCTGGCCCTCGGCAAACGCTGCTCTTTGCACATTTGTTATCACAGAGCGCAGGTTAGGGCGGCCAGGCTAGGCCGGAACATCTCAGAGCCAAGCCCCGGCCTCTAACCGGGTGTGCCCTCACAGCTCCGGTTTCCATCCATGCAGGGGATGGACAGGACCTGGGATGCATGGAACCTGGGGATGGACGGAACCCGGGTGCGGACGGAGCCAGGAAAAGCTTTCTGACGAGCCTCGCTGTACACCCTTCAGCCCTCGGGGACGCCAGGTCTGATCAGAATCCTTAGTTTCCTCAGCTGCCGAGTCTAAGGGTTTCACGTGAATCCGCTTCTCAGGGGCATGAGTGCTGACAGACGGGTCTGAACCGCCACTGGCTTCCCAGATGACAACCTCCCTCCCCCACTTCATCGCACCCGCGGTCGGTCAAGCTCTCCTCCAGAGAAGGGCTCGCCTAGTCAAGAAAGGAATGTCTCAGGGATGCCCGCCTCAACCCCACGTGGGGCCAAGGGCTGCAGCCAAGCACCCCTCCTCTCACAGATCACCCTCCCATCTAACTCCCCTGCCAACTGGCCCCAAACTGGCCACTGACTGCTCGTGGCGAAGACACCGAGAAGGTCATGAGGGGCGGTGGAAAGCTGGGCTGGGAGTCAGGGTGCTCATCCCAATTTGTTCATTCCCTCCCAGCCCCCCGACACGTCTCTGAGTTCACACTAGGTCTCCTGGGTTCCATCACAGGGACACAGGGTTACCCAAGACAGTGCTAAGGGTGTTGCGAGGAGAATGTCATTCATGCCAATGTAGACCTCAGGGAATGTGCGAATTTCAAAACCGTCACCAGGTACACATTCAAACTTTTGGGAGGGTCAGAGGCCAAAATTAACATTATGTGGGGGTGAGATCAGTGTTTATTCCCACCAGCAGCTGAGAACCGGCCCTGAAGTTCCCGATCAGGGTAAATCCGACCCTGGAGAGTCGGATAAAGAGTTAGGGGCACCCTGGGAGAGGGGCGGGGCGGCAGCTGAACCGGCCGTGTGACGCTGGGCACGCCAATCAAGCTCCTGTGCCTCAGTTTTCTCTGCCAGGAAGTGGGGGCTCCAGTAACAGAACCCACTGTCTAGGGCTGCTTGAAGACCTGAGGAGTCGGTGCAGGTCAAGAGGTTAGGGCACAGTCAGCGCTCGTTAGAGGTCGACACCCCCCGGCCTGGCTGGTTCTACTTGCTCATCGGGACCCTGAGCTTCTTGTGGCTTCGCATGCAAGGCTGACCAAGGGCCCCTCAGGGTGGTGGGCTGCAGCCTGGCCTGGGAACTGGTGTGCTCTGATCCCACGTGTGCCCCCAACTTCTTCTATGACCGAGTCCCGGCCCCTCGGTCATCGCTGTCCCCCCTGGCCCCACTCTCTCCAGCTGCGTGCTGTGCCGTCCTGTGTGGCTCAGTCTTGGTAAAGGCCTAGTGATTGGCTGCTGGTTCGTTAATGTGACCAGGTCTCTCTGCCCGGGTGTCCGAGCCTGCAGAGGCAGCTGGGGCCAGCACAGTGAGGCCCTGTCAGAGCGCCCGGCAAAGCCTGGCCCAGGGGAAGGCCCATGGATGTGCGATCTCACTATGACGTGGAAGGGTCAGGAACACGCCTATCTTTTCTCCTCCTTTCTTCCCTCTCCCTCTTATTTATTTATTTTTTAAATATATTTTATTGATTTTTTACAGAGAGGAAGGGAGAGAGATAGAGAGCTAGAAACGTCGATGAGAGAGAAACATCGACCAGCTGCCTCTTGCACACCCCCTACCAGGGATGTGCCTGCAACCAATGTACATGCCCTTGACCGGAATCGAACCTGAGACCTTTCAGTCCGCAGGCCGATGCTCTATCCACTGAGCCAAACCGGTTTCGGCCCCTCTCCCTCTTCATCCCCCAAAAGGCCAGAAGGGTAAGGCGCAGGCTCCGTTGGTTGGGGGAGAGGTTGGGGGAGGGGTTGGGGGCAGGCCAGATGGGGGCACACGCTTTAGTCCATGGTCCTGTCAGTGCTGCTCTTCCTCTGACAAGGATGGGGCTGGGACCAGGGCTGTGGCGGCAGCTGGTTCCCACTCTTTGGCATTCGGTTTAGCCTCTCCCAGAGCCACGCCTGACCACATGCGGCCCTGACCAGCCCAGCCCCGCAGGTGCCCTGGAGAGCCGCCAGCAGGCACCTTGGTGAAGCCTGACGGCTCTCCCTGCTGTCGGGCTCAGCAGCGGGCACCCTGGGTCCCGTGGGAGCGGGGACTCAGGACCCGCCTGGGTCTCAGCGGCGGGGTCACCTCTCTGCACAGTGGTCAGCAGGGGCAGTCCTGGGGCCCCGTTTCATCGAGCCCGCCACCTCCCCGGCCCTCGGGGTGGACTCACCCAGGCCCAGGTTGGCGATGGTCTTGAGGTCTGTAAAGCTGCTGGCCTCAAGGATGGCCTGCGGCAGCCTCAGTGTGAAGGGCAGTAAATCTCTGTGGAAACAAGAGGGGTCAAGGTCATGCCTGGGAGGGACCTGTGCGTCCATTCCCACCCCTCAGCCCCACACCCAGAGTCCATAAAGGAGAAACCCCAGCAACCTTGCTGGCTGCTGGGCCTCCAAGCAGACGGGAAACTTCCCTGGGGCGGAGGGCACAGCCCCGAGGCTGCGGAGCATCCAGGCAGGTCCAGGCCCCGGGCCAGCACGATGGACCTGAGAAGGGGTGACCCCCACGGGAGTGGGGAGGGTCCAGCTTCCCCCACTTTTCCTGCCTGGGAACCAGGGAGCTTCCAGGGAGGCCTCTACTCTGGGTAAAGCCAGTGACCCGCCCCTTTCTGCTCCACACTGAGACGGGCAGTGAGCAAGCACACAGTCAGACATCCCCAGTGAACGCACAGTGAGGCTTCCCCAGTGAGCGCACAGTCAGACATCCCCAGTGAGCACACAGTGAGGCTTCCCCAGTGAGCGCAGTCAGACATCCCTGCCCGCGCATAGTCAGACAGCTCAGTCTGCTGCCTTTGGTCTGAATGGGGAAGTACTCAGGGATCTCCCCAGAGACCTCCTGGCAGGGACTCAGACACTCTTCCCTTTACTGTGCAGACAGGGAAACTGAGGCCCAGAGAGGAAAAGGAATATGTCCGGGCCGTATAACAGGTTGAAGGCACAGTGTGCTAAGCCCTGAGCTTCCTGAGTTCTAGTCCGGGGCTGTTTCAAGGGGCCGGGAAAGGGAGGAGCCCCAGGATGACGGTCCCAATTCTACATCTCAGCCTGGCATTCAAGGCCCATCACAGTCTGACCCTGAACTCCCCCTACCCCCTTTCCAGCTCTATCCACCTTCTCCCCAAACCCCAATTCCAACCCTATGGATAGGCATTAATACCTTTGTGTTAAATAACTGATTTGGCATTGAATCCTCTAGGGCAGCTACTAAAAATGCATATTCCAGATCCACGCCCAGGGGTGCCAGGGCCAGGTCTGGGGGTGGGCCAGGAACCACATTTTGAACATCTCTCGAGGGGATCCTGAAGGACACCACCTTGGGTGGGAACCACGTCCCCCAAAGCAAGGGCAATCAATAAAAACAAAAATTAAGTAGCTCTCCAGACACGTATGTATGTCTGAACTTCCTCATTAACGACTAAGACCGCTGAAAGGCTTTCATGAAGAGAAAATGTCAAAGTGAGATTTTTAGAACAAGTGTCCTAACCTCCCCCCCCCCCCACACACACACACTCTGGGGGTCAGCTTGCACCTTCTAGGGCCCCAACGCCTCTCCGTGGAGGCTGCTGTTCTAGCTGATGCTTTTCAAGCTTGTTGGATTATGACTGTCAGCAAGAAACACATCTGGCATCATGGTGCAGTGCGTACACACACACACACACACACCTAAAATAGGTGTAGCACAAGACAGTCCAGCCACATGAGACACATACATGCTGGTCTTTTCTAGTCTAGTTTAATTTTTCATTAAAAAAAGAGCCAGTTGTGCCCTGGCCAATGTGGCTCAGTTGATTGAGCTTTGCAGGTCAGGACACATGCCCAGATTGGGGGCTTGATCCCCAGTAGGGGGCATGTGGGAGGTGGATGATCAATGTTTCTCACATCGATGTTTCTCTCCCTCTCTCTCTCATCAATAAAAACATATATATTTTTAAAAGAGCCAGTCATGATCTACTCAATTGATTTGACGACCCCTCTGGGTATCTTCTGACATCACCAACCAATCCACCAACACCGGCTGCTGGGGTGGGGGTGGGGGAGGTGTCCCCCAAGGTAATGCAGTCTGACACCATCTGCCTGGAATTAGTGCAGATCCCGTTAGGGGGCCCTCTGTGAACCCCAGGCTACCTGGACTTCTGACCGGCTAGAAACCAGGGGCTCCCAAGACCCCGTCCTCAGGCTCGACAATTTGCTGGGATGGCTCTCAGAACTCAGGGAAACACTTTACTTATATGCCTACCGGTTTATTATAAAGCAAGAGCCCCACGGAAGAGAGCACCGACAAAGGGTGGGGGAGGGGCAGGGAACGTCCACACCTCCCTAGACCCAATGCCATCCCTGCACCTGCGGGTCCATCTGGGGGGTGGGGGTGGGGCTGAAAGACTAGCTAGGGCCCCCACCTGTGTCACCTCAGATAAGCTCAGCAGTGGGGGGGGGGACTCACCTGAACAATGAAAGCCACCCCACCATCAGGAAGCCCCAAGGCTCTCGGAGCCGTGCCAGGGAGCTGACAGAGACCACGTCTTTCTGTTCTCTTTCCCCCCTACCCCCCAACCCCCAATCCCGGCTGTGGTCCCGGATGGAAAAGCCCCACACGCCATGTCTGTTATCGCACTAACTCCTTGGCACAGGCTGGTTTCTCCCCCACACCCCTGAGGGGCTGGGCACATTTGGGGGTGACCTGGGGAGCACTTCTAAGATGTAAGGCCTGGCCTGGGAGAACAACTTCTGAACCCCTTCGATGCCCACGGCACCCTGAGACCCACCTCCTCACACATGCCGGTGACGTGTGGTTTTGAAAGGCGACCACCATAGAGGGAAGAGCATGAGTTCATTTTGGTGACTCTTTTTTTTTTTTTTTTTTTTTTTTTGAGAGAGAGTGAGAGAGAGAGAGAGAGACAGAAAAAAGCCAGCTGAACTTTTAGCATCTGCGGGCCCAGCTCGAACTCTAGCTGCGTCCCCTGCGGGGTGTCCTTTCCATTTCCCCAGTGACGGTGGGGGCACGATGTCTGCTAGTGGGATCGTTTTGTGAAGCCAACGAGCTGGGGTGTAGGGGCCGCCCAGCCCTGGCCGGGACCTAGAGGCAGCGGCTGTGGGCTGTGTTCCCTCCTCCTCCGGGGAGTGCAGGCCACGGGCACCGCTCAGGGCCTCGCCCCGCTCACCGGGCGGCTCCTGGCTGAGGGGGCAAGGCCCAGCTCCAGGCAGTGATCACAGCTCTTTCCTCAAAGGCAGAGGGGCCCGCTGGCCCCCTCCTCCAGCTGGCAGGAAGGTGGCAGCTTAGTCACAGCCCCTGGCATCTGGACACCTCCTCCAGAGGGCAGGCCCAGGGGCTCCTCCCTTCCTTCCTCATTTCGCTTCGCTGCACCCTCCTCACGGGGTTGCAGACGCCTGGTCCGGGCGGGTAGAGGACCAGACCTCCCGGGCCCTGGAGCAAGGATGTCGCACTTGTGGTGCGTGTCCCGATGTCCCACTGGCAGTGCATTGGACATGCTTGCTAAGGGCTCAGCCGAGCCCTACCACGTAGTAACTGCTTCAGACACAGTCAAGTGTGTTCACCCTCCGGCTGCTCAGGATAGGAGCCCCAGCATCTCCCCCGCAGCCCCTGCTCCCACCCCCTCCCTCTAGGGCAGATGTTCTCAGCCTTTCTAATGCCGACCCTTTCATACAGCTCCTCATGGGGTGGTGACCCCCAACCATAAAGTTATTTTCGTTGCTACTTCATAGCTGTCATTTTGCTACTGTTATGAAAAATAGAACCGCTAGCAGAGTCGCCTAAGGCCATCAGAAAACACATTATGATTCATAACAGTAGCAAAATTGGAAAAAAAAAGAGAGAAAGAGAAAGAAAGAAAGAAAGAGAAACATTGATATGAAAGAGAGAAAGAGAAACACTGATATGAAACATTGATATGCATTGACTGCCTCTCACACATGCCCAACTGGGGGGCTGGGAATCAAACTTGCAACCCAGGTACGTGCCCTTGACTAGGAATCGGTGCGTGGACCAATGCTCTAACCACTGAGCCCCCAACCAGGGCGCTTTATCCATCCTGAATCTCCCCTCTGCCATTTAACAGCGGTGTGACCTTGAGCAAGTGACTTCCCTCAGTCTTAGTTTTCTCATGATATAAAATGGGAACTACAAGAGCACTAGCCTCATGTAATTGTTGGCGAGATTGAGAAGGGTAATGGTTGTCAGAGCTCAGTGCTGGGCACCAGGAAAGAGCTCAGCGGGCAGCAGCTCTTTGCAACTGTTCTCACCCGCACCAGCTTTTCTGCCCAGCGGGGCCCGGGGCGTCCTTGCAGGTGGCAGGTGGCAGGTGGAGGTGGTGTTCTGGCTGAGTGCGGGTTTTCACCAGCGAGAACGGTGTCTTTGAAGGAGGGAGAAGTGGGCCTGGAGCCCAGACCCCGAGACTCCTATCTAGCCTCCAGTCAGTTTTAGTCAAGACACCGGAGCGTAAGCCAGCAGCTTCTGACACCAACATGTATTTTTAAATCCCTGTTGACCTGCCACCAGTTCTGAATAAATAGAGCAGCTCTGAGGGCGGTTACCAGACACCCGCTCCACCCAGCAGCTGCTCAACAATTACAAGCTCCCTCCCACGGAGGGCACCAGCCCTTCCTGCTGCCCCTACAGGAAGCTCTTCTTCTAACCCTCACGGGTGCACCAGGTCCCCACAGGACCCGAGGCTGCCCCGGATGCTAAGGTCTTAGGCAGTGAGGCGGGGAGCAGGTGGTGGAGAGGAGGGGTCCTTCATGGCAGATCTCAGAAAGCACCACCCTCCAGGGTTCCCAGGGCGTAGCCAGCGGCTGCTCCCCTCCTCTGCATCCTGAGGGCTGCCCCCTTCCCTCTGGGGGCTTCTCTGGGACTCCCCGCCCCCCACCAACCGTGGCGTGGTCATCTGTCGCCACAGGATGCCCTCCCGTGGGGCCAGGCGTACTCACCTACTGACACAGTAGAACGCGATCAGTCTGAAGATGTCCTCAAACACAAGAACCGAGCCCTCCAGGTACAATACTGAGGAGAGAGGACAGAGGCCCGGATGAGTGTCCCCGTCAGAGGGAGGGAGGGTCCCTGAGGGTGGGGCGGTGTCTTTCGAGTTCATTGTTGGAAGGCCTGGCCTGCGGCGGCCACGTGTCCATCAGCTGCCCTGGGGACCACAGGGGGTGGGAAACAAACTTCTAGGGCAGCGATGTCCAGCCTTTCTCATCTCCCGGCACAGAGGCTAATTACAGAAATTCTGCAGCACACCGCAAGTGTCTATTTTTGGCCTATCCGAAAAACAAAAGGTGTGCGATGGATTCCTTCACACCAGACAGCTCTTGTAGTATTGGCTGCTGTCATTTTTTTGATTTGTCAGTCTGGGGGGGGGGGGGGCGGGGGGAGAAGGAGTCGGTGCCCCTGACTACACAGTCAGGTGTTGCATGGTTTAAACATTCTGGCAGCGCCGGCTGAGAATCACTGTTCTGTCGTGTTAATCCACTGAGGTTTGGATGGTGACTATCTGAACGAACACGCATCATTTTGGGCACAAAAACACACAAGCCTCCAGAATAAAAGCAGAGTGAAACGTTTAACTCCACGGTCGGCAAACTGTGGCTCATGAGCCACATGCGACTCTTTGGCCCCTTGCATGTGGCTCTTCCACAAAATACCACGGCCTGGGCACATCTATTTTGAAGAAGTGGCTTTAGAAGAAGTTCCAGTTGCAAAAATGTGGCTCTCAAAAGAAATGTCAATGTTTTGTCCTGTTGCTATTTGGCTCTGCTGACTAACGAGTTTGCCGACCACCGGTTTAACTGATCAGGGTCATCTCAACGTGGCAATTCTGAGGGTTCCGGGGACGGCCGGAAAAGGCCGTCCGGTTCTGTGTTGGCCGCGGGGAGGACCATCAGTCCGGGGCGCTGACCTGGGGCCCCCGGCCCTCCACCCAAGAGGACCTGGCCAGACCTCACTTGCCTCACCTGCAGGGCAACCCCAGGGCGAGGCTGACCTTGATGTTTCTCAGCTCTGACAAGGGAGAGGGACCAAGGCATTTGCCCAAGCTCCCACCCCAAGGTGCGGGGGGGGGGGTCCTTAGAGAGACGGGGTGCCAGGATATGGCGCCAGTGCCCGGAGCTGGGGGTGCAGTGACCAGAGGATGTGGCACAGCGCCACACCCTGTTTTGGCCGCGGGCAAGGGCCCCGGGACGCTGAGTGAGCTGCTCTCCAGGGCTCTTGGCGCCCTCCTCACCCAAGACCTCTGACTCTCACTCAGGACTCATCTGCCCATCAGAGGGGCTCCCCGTGCTGGGGACCCCCCCACTGCACTTTCTTGGGCATCAGAAGGGCCGAGAGACATGTGTGCATCACCCCTCAGTTCCAGTTTCCTGGAGGGCCTTCTAGCAGCTGTGTGATGGAGGGAAGGCAGGTCCCAGTCCCAGGCCGGGCTCTGACTCTGGGCTCTTCCCCTCCTGGCACTGCAGTTCTTCCACCTTCTGACCAGAACCCCCCTTCCCTTCCCCCTCCCCTCCATGCATCCAGGTGACACCGGCCGGCCGGCCCGTTTCCATAGCCTAGGACAGCACGCCTTGCACTGGTGGTCTGCGGGGTGGTTATAGGTGACACGTGGATCAACAGCTTTGATAGCTTTACTTTTACATTTGCCTTCTTTCCATGTTCTCAGCAGTAAACATGTTATCATCTATTTATGGCAAAGAGGTCCTGATTTCTCATCAGGACAGATATGAGAAGTTTAAGGGGAGTTTAGAGAAAACCATTCAGCAGGTGATAGCACGGGAGGTTCTCTGAAGGCGCCTACAGTCTGAGGAGCACTCCATGGAGCCTGCACCAAGAAGTACTAGCGCTGGGGCGGCCCACAGCGCCACCTGGTGCTGGCTTTTGGTACATCGCCTACTCTCCTCCGCACCGGCCAAGGGAGCCCAGGTCCCAAGACCTGCAGCCCTAAGAGATAGAGACCATTCCACCTGCAAAAGGAGAACAGGAAGCAGGAGCCCCTCCAATGAGAGATGTTTCTCTCTCATCGACGTTTCTAGCTCTCTATCTCTATCTTTCTAGCTCTCTAGCTCTCTCCCTTCCTCTCTGTAAAAAATCAATAAAATATATTTTAAAAAAGAAAGAAAGCCCTCCTCCTACATGGGACGTGCTCAACCATGAGCAGCTCTCCTTTGCTGTGGGGACCTGGTCTGACCTAGGCTGACACAGACGGAGCCTTTGAGATGAAGCAGGCACTCCCGCTGGGTCCGCTGGCACTTGCCACAAAGCCGTACTTCTTTCGATGTCGTTTACTGATCGTCTGCGTGCTGGCCGGGTCCTCCAGGGCGGGGACCAGGGCTCACTCACTTTTGTCAGGAGGACAGAGCTCAGTTCTAGTCGTAGCACCAGTCGCCTTCCTACCGTTAAAACGGTCAAGTTTTACAATCATAAGCCAGAGTCAAGGCTCTTGTTTGTTCCTTGTGATCTCTTCTGCCCCCACCCCAGCCAGCAGCTGTCCATGTCTGCCCCCACCCACCCACACCCATCCCCAAGGAGGACCCCAGTGTGAGTCTCCCTCAGCATCCAGCAGAGCCCCTTGAAATGGGTAAACTGAAGGTACAGGATACAAGACAGGAATATGTCTCAATAAAGCCATTATTAAACAGAGAAAAATGCTTGCCGAGAGGACAATTTCACTGCCTGTATTAAGGTTTTCTGGGATTTTTATAACGAGCATCTATGAGTTCTGTAAGCAGAGAAACTGTCAAGCTTCTCTACATGTTTCTCTAGTTTTCTACAGTTCTCTGTAAACGTGTCTCTAAAGCTGACTGGCTTCCGGTGTCCTCTAGCTCCTGTCGCTATAGGACCGCTCACAGCCCTGCAGGGCACAGCCGACAGGCCCCCATCTACCCACCATGTCACCCCTAAACCCCGCCACCAAGCCAGCTTCTAAAGAGCCTTGGGAGCGTCCAGCGCCCACTCTGCCCTTGGCATCAGCTCACGCAGGGACCCGGCCAGCAGCTCCTCCCTGTAAAGATGCCAGTGCCAGCGGGGACCTGTGAAAAGCTCGGGCAGCAGCCCCTCCACTGCGTGCAGTCTCCAGGGTCCCTTAGCAGAAACCTTGGTGGAAACACCCAGACCCTCGCTAACATTTCTCTTTCAAAAGGGGAGGAGAGAGAATGGGTACCAAACAGCAGCATCCGGCATGTCCCGAGGTGACCACAGGTGACAACAACAGGTCCCCACTCAGAGAAAAGGAAACCTTTCACCCATGACTGAGTGGGGACAAGGTCCAGATGCCAGGCCACACACGCCAGAATGGCTCCCAGCATTCACAACCCCAATGTCAGAATGAGATATCCACAGCCTGACTGGCGTGGCTCGGTGGCTGAGTGTTGACCTACGAACCAGGAGGACATGGTTCAATTCCTGGTCAGGGCACATGCCTGGATTATGGGCTGGGTCCCCAGTGGGGGTAGGGAGCGTGCAGAAGACAACCCATAGATGATTCTCTCTCATCAATGATGTTTCTATTTCTCTCTACCTCTCCCTTTCTCTCAAAAATCAATAAAGATATTTTTAATTTTATTTTTATTTTATTTTAATGTTTTAAATATATTTTATTGATTTTTCACAGAGAGGAAGAGAGAGGAATAGAGAGTTAGAAACATCGATGAGAGAGAATCATCAATCAGTTGCCTCCTGAACACCCCCTACTGGGGATGTGCCTGCAACTAAGGTACATGCCCTTGACCGGAATCGAACCTGGGACCTTCTAGTCCGCAGGCCGGCGCTCTATCCACTGAGCCAAGCCGGTTTCGGCTGATATATTTTTTTTTAAAAAAGAGATATCCACAAAGAATGGAAAGCTAGTAGATTTTTTTTTTTAATTCCACTTAATCACTCAATCATCCAAATGAACTGCCAAGGAGAGGGGCTGTGTGTGTATTTTCTGTTCTTCATGGTTTACCCAGACTCAGGCATGGTGCTTAGCATGTTGCCAGCTCTCCAATGCTTATTTAGTGTTTTATTTACAAAGCGTTTAATTTGAAAATACTTAGAAGAGTCATAAGAAGTTCCAGAGATGCACAGGAATGGCCTGGGCACCCTTCACCTAATTTTACATGAGTGCGTGTGTGTGTGCATGCGTGTGCGTGTTTGTACCATACTATGAATTGTATCCCATGTGTAGCTGTCTGTAATCACCACCACAATCAAGATATGTCACTGCACCATCCCTGCAGGGCTCCCTGTGCTCCCCACTTAGAGCCACAGCCACTCTTCGCTCACCCCTGACCCCTGGCAGCCACCAATCTGTTCTCCATCTCTTTGGTGACATTACTTCATGAATGTCTTATAAGTGGAGTCACACAGTATCCAGCCTTGACATTAGCTTGCTTCACTCAGCATGATTTCCTCGAGGATCATCCAGGCCACTGACCGAGCCAATCGCCCGTTCCTCTTTAGTGCTGAGTCAGCATCCATGGTTTGGATGGAGCATTCTTTGCTTGACTAGTCACCGCTGAAGGACATTGGGGGAGTCCAGTTTTGAGTTATTATGCACAAAGCCACTATGGACACTTGTGTACAAGTTCCTGCATGAAAATATGCCTTCTGGGCGACAGCTGTGATACTGTCAATAATAAAAAATATATATATGAAAAAAGAAAATATACTTTCCTTTCTCTGGGATCTATGCCCAGGAGTGCTATTGCTGGGTCATACGGTATGTCCATCAAAGGAACTGCCAGACTGCTTTTCTGAGTGGCCAGCAATGCAGGCAGGGTCCAGTGTCTCTCGGTGCCTGCCAATTTGTTGTCGCTGTTCCTTATTGTAGCCATTCCAGGAGGTGTAGAGTGACATCTCAAGATGGTTTTGATTTGCATTTCTCTAATTTAGATTTTGGAAAGATGTTGACCATCTTTTCATGTGTTTATTTGTTATCTGAATATCTATCCTCTTTGGTGAAATGTCTCTATTATCGTTTGCCAATTTTCTAATTGGGTATTTTTTTTTTTTAGCGTTGATGTTTTTTAAAATCA